TCAACGCTGGTTGGTTGTTCTTGAATCGTCTCCTACTCTTTTCCACTTCAACCTCTTTGCTGTTCAGTTACAGCAGGAACCCAGTTCAACGTCAATCTTAAATACCATTTTAAATATGCTAAAAATATAATTATAGAGTAACATGTATGAATTAATAAATATACTTTAAATTTCATTCCAAATGATCTGGCCTCATAAATCTGACCTATTGGGTTGTTTAGGCTTTGTCAGCCTTAGGTGACAATGTTCAAAATGGTAACTCCATGGTCACCACCAAAACGCTAAGCCAGATGGTATCCTGGATCGAGTTGTATATTGCAGAACTTTAGTAGAATAACAAAGGGGTTTACGGCAAGGCAAAATATCGGTTCAGATTTCTGTTCAGAATTTTTCAAAAGTACTTTTTCTTCTGATTTTTGTTAACGTGGTTTCTGCTGTTCCAGATACTCAGCAACGGAGCGATTGGATTCGACAGAAATTCACAAAGTTATTTCCCGAACGTTTTGAAGAACGGGAAAACGCCTTTGATCGCGCCGCTTTGGAGCCTCAACGACCTCCGTCTTGGCGGTCATGTTTTCTACCGGGAATTGACAGGTGAAAAATGAACACTTTGGCAAAACTTTGAGCTTACTTCAAATGCGGACGAGTTTTAGCTGGCCGCTCAGTGGATCGTGCCCGGAGTGAAATCCGGTATCAGTACGACAAAACCGTTCGTGTACTATCAGTGCTGCTTGTAACTTGGAGCAACGTTAAGCCGGTAGGCAGTGCTGCAGGTCCCAGCGAGGTATTAATATCGCATGCTTGTAAAATATTGTCTAAGAATGATGTCTGCAAATTTTTGACTTCAAGCAGAGCCATTTTCTTGCCAGTCTGTTTTATGCACATTTGTAAGGGTCTAGCGAAATTAAGCAATGCAGGAAACACTAAGGACATGTCCTTCATACTCTGAGAAAAAATTCATGGTTTGTGCAACCCTAGACCTCATAAACATATCTTATCACTTTGAATGAAATTAAATTTTTTCAAACTTATGATATTCGGTCCCGTAACCAGGAGTGTTTCAGGAATACTCAGCAGTGATGAATTTTCTTTTATGTATGATTTACTCCATCTCGAGGGCGGTTAGACAACAAGCAGAAATATGAAACAAACTTATGATTCCTTTAATTAAATTACGTGTAGAGGATGGATAGTAAAATCTGATAATTCATGCCTGCCTGCTAATGCAAAATGCGCCTAGGATTCAAGTTTAGTGAAGAGAAAGAGTATCATCCAGAGCGTCAGAGATTTGCGCATGAACTGTTGTTGTGTCATGTCGCAAAAGACCTATACAACTTCGCATTCTTGCAATACTTCGAAAACCTCTCAGGCATCTTTGAATATGGGGACGATATCATACACAAATAGAAGCTGAGTTTTTAGGTGAACGAGCATTTTCGATGACACCCTAATGCAGTTTCGTCACGAATAGGTCATTTTTGAAGTACATAGTCACAAGCAAAGACACTTCGTCATCAATATATTCCGTTTTATAGTGTGTGTTACTCTGAAGAGGCAAATTGTTACAGTACAGTAATAGATGATTTCTTACTGGTGGTGAGCTAGCTGGCCAATCAGACGTTAGGCGTAGGTGTTTCCTTCCTGATCGCGAGCTGTCAGCGAATCATCGGCGCCGGAATGCCCAAGAGCCAGAACAGCTGACGCATCTTCGGTTGTTCACCAGCCCAACTCTTCTGCAGATCAAATCGTCGGAATACACGGAGATTGCAGGGGCGTCACATTTTTATTTCGCTTAGAAGCAATAGCTAAAAGGCGGCGTTCTTTGTATCATATTTTTGTTAAACTCATTGGCGTTTCATTGTAACCCCATCGTCTTTTAATGGTAGAAATCGAATACGTTTCAAGCAGTCATCATCTTGTCGGACAACGGAACGTTTGCAAACTTCGTCTACAAAAACACGGAACTGAGCGCCAACGCGGAAGCGGGATTCACGAAAGGCGACAGCGAACATTTCTTTATTTTGCCCAGTTCCCGAAATCCAAGCACTCAGCAGCTGAAGGACTTTGGAAACACAGGCATTCCCGGTGAATGGATATTTCGGATCGACCTGCCGCGAATCGTCCGTTGCAAGGAAGGCATCAAAGGCGACACCTGTGACACAGGTAAAACTCCGTGAAACGATGTTTCGGTATTATTAGTATTTGTGTGTCTCAATTGCCAGAGAATTGCACTTGGAAACGACGGGTCACTGATGCAAAACCCGGTCCTCTGACTCGCCTTTCTTTCTTTTTGAGGTCGATCACTCAGCGTCACTCGGTGAGGAGGAAACAGGAAACTGCACGTTCTGCTTGCCTCATAGCTGTAGACTCTGCCTTTAAAATAAAACATTCTTGGCTAATATTATGGAAACTAGGATCAGCGCCAGCGCCACATCATCGATTTCAAAAATAGTCGCCAGAAGTGGTCACATCATCAAGGTGTACGTATGACCAATATCCCGACGATTTGATTGTTTCCTACTTTTGTTAGTATTACTCAAATGTCGCATGCTGATTTAGTCAGCGAACCATTGGATCGAAGAGAATTGCGGTCGAAGGTGCACTCAAGCACACGCCACTATGGCTGT